TCGAACAAAGTAAACAATACAACTATAAATGGTCTGGTACAACGGCAAACTTCCCTAATATGACAATAAACAAGCATCAAAAACAACCTGGGGCAGAGATGCCCAAAGTAGGGCACGCAGGCCAAAGTTGGCCCATTGTAACATTTAATTTGGTCTTAAACAAAAGACTTTAATATAATGAAGTGGGCCATTAAACTTAAATGGCTACAATCTTTTATTAAAAATGAATCTTTTTTTATTATTATTTGAGATTCCCACAGTTATATTTAAGAAATGTTGTGGTATTAGTTTTTTTATTACAAAATGATTTTGAATTGTCTAAACCTCCCTTAAAACGTTCTGCTTTTCATCAAGTACAATTATATCGCAAACTGATATTTAAACATAGTTTTAGCCCACATAACATATCTATTTGGAATAACAGGTGTATTTTGGTGAATAGAGAATCTTTGTTTATTGATGAATGGTGGAAGAATAGCATATGGTCACGTTATGGATAATTTAGGAAATATGTTGAGTCATGATGCTTTCTGTAGAAAATAATTAATCTCCGAAAAGATATGATAAAATTATTAAGAATATGTCATTGCAAATAGCCTGGTAAAGGAACAAATAAAATACTCAACGATGAATCCCAAAATAAGTGATCTTAGATAGAAAATGTTAGCTTTACAGATAGAAAAAGCTCAAACTAATTTTGAGAGATTATCTAACAAAGTGTTGTTTTCCAGGACCTGTTAAGAGAGCTTATGTTATGTCTCATTATGAAAAGAAAAATATGTATGATATTAGGAAACGATTTCTTTCATATCCTGTTAATCCTAAATGTAAAGAAGTGCACTTTAAAAGTATGCATCACATTTATCCTGCAATAGAAATTCTAAGGTTAAAACTTAATATTGGTGACTCAAATGTATGGCAGTTTTGTAATTTAGATATAGAAACAACTGAACACTTGTTTTTCCAATGTAATGAGGTACAAAGATTTTGGGACGAAGTATTAGTCTCGATACAACAGAAAATATCTATAAGACTTGTCTTCTCTTGAGAAATTATTAAGTTTGGCATAATTACAGGGAGAAAACAGATGACCATGGCTCAGTTATACCATAGACAAGTTTTAAGTAAAGCTCAGATTATTCTGTCAGATGATTCCCATCCTATGCACCACGAGTTTAATCTTCTCCCTTCTGGTATTCGATACGGAACTCCTATTAGTAAAACAAATCGGTTTAAACTTTCATTCATCCCCTCAGCTGTAAAGTGTTTAAATATAGGCTAGAATTTGTTTTGTATGATGCGCTTTTGTGTATTATGTGTGACATGCTTGTATGCTGCAACCAAATTGCCTTTGGGAAATGATTAAAGACTGACTGACTACTTAAGCATAAAAAGAATTCTTATAAAATGAACAAGGCAAGTCAAGTTTATTTATATAGCACATTTCATACACAGTGGCAAGTCAAAGTGCTTTACATAAACAAGAATAAAAGAAACAAGTAAAAAAAATAAAAAATAAAAACAAATAATAAAACTGATTAAAAAACATAAAAACAGGTAAAATGTGATATAAAAGAATAAAGAAGAAGAGGAAAACATAATAGTGCAATCTGTCGGACGCAGCACAGTGCAAGGCACAGCTAAACAGATGTGTTTTCAGTCTTGATTTGAATGTGCCTAATGTTGGAGCACATCTGATCATTTCTGGAAGCTGATTCCAGCAGCGAGGGGCATAGTGGCTGAAAGCTGATTCACCCTGCTTTGACTGAACTCTTGGAACTTCTAGTTTATATGATCCTAAAGATCTGAGTGATCTGTTGGGTTTGTATTCAGTGAGCATATCTGTGATGTATTTAGGTTCTAGGCCATTTAGTGATTTATAGACCAGTAATAATACTTTAAAGTCTATTCTGAATGTAACTGGGAGCCAGTGTAGAGACCTGAGTACAGGTGTGATGTGCTCTGATTTTCTGGTTCTGGTCAGAATTCTGGCTGCAGCGTTCTGGATGAGCTGCAACTGTCTGACTGTCTTTTTAGGAAGGCCAGTGAGGAGACCGTTACAGTAATCCACCCTGCTGCTGATAAAAGCATGAACAAGTTTCTCTAAATCTTCACTGGAAACAAAGCATCTGATTCTTGCTATGTTTTTGAGATGATAGCATGCTGATTTACTGACTGCTTTGACATGACTATTGAAACTCAGATCTGACTCCAGAGTCACACCAAGATTCTTGACCTTATTTTTTGTTGTTTGACCCTTAGTAACAAGGTACGCATTTACCTTGAGAACCTCATCTCTGTTCCCAAACGCAATGACTTCAATTTGATGTTATTATCAAAATTCTATATTTATAAATGTATTTTTTTAATTTCCCCAAGACTAGTGGTGTTTAAAGAAGAATTTGTGATATATTTGAAGACATTAAGAGAGATTAAAAAAGCCAAAAAGCAAGATATTATATTCATCATCAGATTATTTTGGTTTCATATTTTGAGAACTTTAACTCCACTGCTCCTTCATTTCCTTTAGCTTTTATTTTTTTTGTTAATTTTTGTTATTTTATTTATTCATACATGTTGTATTATTAACGAGAAAGGAAAGATTGTGAATGTATGCAAGTTGTTTGTTATCTCAGTCGTTTGTGTAATTCTAAAAGTATTAATACCTTTATGTTGCTGTTCAAGCATTGTTAATACAAAAAAAAAACTTTGATTTTGCTCTCCATCCCATCTGAGAAGAGTGTAAGAATGCTTTTAACAGAGATCATCATTTCTAATTTAACATAACCTTTATTGTTTGTTTGTTTTATTGCAGAGCTACAAAAAAGGCAAACTGAAATTAAATGTTGTAAATTAAACTGAGCTTTTAAAATGTAAATAATGTCACTCGACAGTTAGAGGACTATGAAGAAGACATCAGCGAGTAAATCAAGCCAAAAACTAGTGTATTCTGTTATAAATGAGATGATAAATGAGAAAATGCATCGCAAAGTATAGCGTAGTTAATATAAAGCAATGGTTTTTAGTTATTTTAAAATATTAATTTTTTCATATTCTTTTCGGCTTAGTCCCTTTATTAAACTGGGGTCGCCACAGCGGAATGAACCGCCAACTCATCCAGCATATGTTTTATGCAGCGGATGCCCTTCCAGCTGCAACCCATCTCTGGGAAACATACATACACACTCATTTAAACACACACACTACTGACAATTAAGCCTACCCAATTCACCTGTACCGCATGTCTTTAGACTGTGGAGGAAGCCGGAGCACCTGGAGGAAACCCACGCGAACAGGGGAGAACATGCAAATTCTACACAGAAACGCCAGCTGACCCAACCAGCGACCTTCTTGCTGTGAGGTGACAGCTCTACCTACTTTTACATTTTTGCATTGCACATAGCAAAAATAAGCATGTTTATTTCATATGTGAACATGACAGAGGCCATAGATGTGTTTTAATTGTACAATATCAGATTCCTCTCAGTATTTTTAAAAGATGTCAAATGCAGATTCAATAAAAAGAAATAATACATTTAAAAAAAATCACTGTTTTGCTTGGAGTTGGAGGTCTAACTTACAAAACATTAATTGGTGCAATAATGTCTAAAAATGTTTACACAATTTACAATGCATCTTTGTTTGTAACCACTTGAAGATGATTAAATATAAAGTATCTGTGGAATTATTACATTCAGAATAGCTTTTTCTGACCTTACTTAGTAAAATATATAAAAGATTAATGGCGAAACTATTACATTTATATTTAAACCTAATTGTGAAGAAACGAGTCATACAAAAAACAAAATTATAAATTTATTAAGTGACAAGACTGTACAACTCATTTACAATCTACTAGAGGGAGAAAATAAATAAATTTATTTACACAATCTGTATACAATAAAGACTTTTAGACAGGAAAATAGAAAGATAAGAAGACTCAAGTTATACAGCAAAGACCACAGAACAAATGCATGCACTCTGAAAACAACTGATGATATACTAAGACATCTTTCCAAACAATCCTTAAAGGAACATTTCACTAAAAACAGAAAATTCATCAATACTCACCAACCTGAATGAACACAAAAGAAGTTATTTTGAAAAATGCTTGAAACCTGTAACCATTGACTTCCATAGTATTTGTTTTTCCTATGGAAGTCAATGGTTACAGGTTTCTAACATTCTTAAAAATATCTTCTTTTGTGTTCAACATCAAAAAAGGAATTTGTAACCACTTGAAGATGATTAAATAATAAAGTGTCTCCCTAAATATTTCAAACAACTTTCAGAATAGTTTTTTTTACCCTACTTCTTGAAGATTAATGGCGATACTGTGAATCTTTTTATTTAAACCCAACTGTAAAGAAACGAGTCATACAAAAAACAAAATTATATAAATTTATTAAGTGACAAGACTGTACAATACGTTTACAATCTACAAGTGGGAGAAAATAAATATATTTATTTACACAATCTGTAAACAATGAAGACTTTTAGACAGGAAAATAGAAAGATAAGAAGACAGAATGTGACTCAAGTTATACAGCAAAGACCACAGAACAAATGCATGCACTCTGAAAACAACTGATGATATACCAAGACATCTTTCCAAACAATCCTTAAAGGAACATTTCACTAAAAACAGAAAATTCCGTCATTATTTACTCTTAAACCTGTTTGAACACCAAAGAAGTTATTTTGAAAAATGCTGGAAACCTGTAACCATTGACTTCCATAGTATTTGTTTTTCCTATGGAAGTCAATGGTTACAGGTTTCTAACATTCTTCAAAATATCTTCTTTTGTTTTCAATTTAAAAAAAGGAGGTTGTAACCACTTGAAGATGATTAAATAATAAAAAGTCTCCCTAAATATTTCAAACGACTTTCAGAAGAGTTTTGTTACCCTACTTCTTGAAGTATCTAAAAGATTAATGGCGATACTGTTAAATCTATTTATTTAAGCCCAAATGTAAAGAAACGAGTCATACAAAAAGCAAAATTATATAAATTTTTAATAAGTGAAAAAACTGTACAATTAATTTACAATCTACAAAAGGTAGAAAATAAATATATTTATTTACACAATCTGTAAACAATAAAGAATTTACCATAGGAAAAAAGAAAGACAGAATGTGACTGCAGGACTCAAGTTATACAGCAAAGACCCCAGAACACATGCATGCACTCTGAAAACAACTGATGATATACAAAACAATCCTTAAAGGCACAGTTCACTAGAAACTAAAAACTCTGACATTATTTACTGAACAAACACAAAATAAGTTATTTTGAAAAATGTTGGAAACCGGTAACTATTGACTTACATACACTCAAAAAAAAACTTGCGCTGCTTTTTCGAACTACTTGAATGAGTTGAATGACTTGAAATGAGTTGAAACAACACAATTCTTACTTTTTTTGGGGAAAACTTAATTGTTTTAAGCTCAATCGACTTAAATTTGTAAAAAAATAAACATTAAGTTAACCTAATTTCTTCATGCTGTCCCAACACAAATCCGTTGTGTGGAATTCAGCATTTTTTTTGACAGTGTAGTATTTGTTAGTCAATAAAAACAGGCTTGAACATTTTTCAAAATATCATCTTTTTATGTTTAAGCAAAAGTGAATCAATAAATGATGCCAGAATTTTAATTTCTGCGTGAACTATCCCTTTAAGACAACGCTGGTTATTCTCATGCTAAGTGTCTTCAGTTTTGCTCACCAGGGTCTCCACAAAGGCTGATTGTGGAACAGCGCTCGTCTCAGAGTCCGTGGTTGAGAGGATTGAACAGAGCCACTAAACCGCACCCGAGTCGGGGAGCTCACCTGAAGATGAGGTCCTGGGACGACCGGTAATGAAGTCGTTGAGAGACTCACAGTTGATAACGACGATGATGAAGAGGAGTCGGTGGAATGCGGAGAGATGCTGGGAGGGAACGGGAATTGGCAGGGCACAGAGAGATACGTTGGAGAGCTGGAGAATGGAGGAGAGCTGCTTGAAAAGCCTGGAGACGGCGGAGGAGAAATGGAGTATGGTGGAGAGAGGTATGGATGTTGTCCCGTCGGATGCAGATGCATAAATGATTTCGGATACAGGCTGTTTGCGTAGGAATATGGCTCAGGGTTGGCTCTCATGTGTCCAATCGATTGGACGTCCGTCCTGCAGGACAACTCTGGATTTGGGATCCATGGATGGTGGGTTGGATTGCTGGAAACTCTGCCGTGGGGAAGAGCGCTGCTGTAGGAGTCGAGATGATGGCAGAGACCTTGGACGAAGCTGTCTCGCTGGGATGGCTCCACGCAGTCGATGAAGCTCGCCAGCCGGGAGATGCACTCTTTAAAACCAGCCTTGTAGATTGGATTAGATGGCAGATTATGGGTTTGGATGGACTCCGGGATGGACGCACATGGCATCTGGGGTCTCCTTGAGAGCAGAGGCGGAGGTTTTGGATCATGCGTGTCCTTGCTAGAATCGCCTGAGGGTTAGGGAGAGTGGAAAGGCATGCAAAAATAGGGTAAGTTTGAGGGGAAAGAGCAAGGGGGGGTTTGAGTGTGATCGTTTGGTTATAATTAATCGAGGAATCATGCAAAGGATTGTTTAGGAAGGGGGGTTTAGGAGTGAGAAGTAAATAGTTTTGGTTTATCGATTGATTGAAGATAAAATGAAAAGGAAAAGTGGAGTAAATAGATGTGGGTTGAGGAATTGAGAATGATGGAAGGAGGAGGAGAAACAGAAGAGACGAGACAAAATAAATTAGAATAATTACACTAATATGAGTCACAACCGAACAAAATAAACACAAATAGATAATTTTTGACGTAAAATATGAGTACATTTCACTTTAAAAGATATTTTTGCTGCTTGTTCAAACTACTTATTTAAAATGAGCTGAATCAACACAATTGAGTTTTTTTTTCAGAACTTAACCTAAATTTCTAAAAAAAATCAAGTTAGCTTAATCAACTTGTTTTGGGACGAGGTGAAGGAATAGTGTGGAACTCTGCATTTTTTGCAGTGTAGTTGCATTACATTTTAAGCTCAATCAAATTAACATCAGTCATTTTAAATTAAATTAAACACATTTAACTTATCAAATTAACATTATCGGTCAATTTAACCAAAATTAAACACATTTAGCTTATCAAATTAACATTATCAGTCATTTTAACTTAAATTAAACACATTTAACTTATCAATTTAAATTAGCGGTCATTTTAACTTAAATTAAACACATTTAACTTATCAAATTAACATTATCTGCCTTTTAACCTTAAATTAAACACGTTTAACTTATCAAGTTAACATTGTCGGTCAATTTAACTTAAATTAAACACATTTAGCTTATCAAATTAACATTATCGGTCAATTTAACCAAAATTAAACACATTTAACTTATCAAATTAACATTATCAGTCATTTTAACTCAAATTAAACACATTTAACTTATCAAATTGACATTATCTGTCTTTTTAACTCATAATAAACACATGTAACTTATCAAGTTAAAATTATCGGTCATTTTAACTTAAATTAAACACAACTAACTTTTTAACTTATCAAATTAACATTATCAGTCATTTTAACATAAATGAAAAACATTTAACTTATCAAATTAACATTATCAGTCTTTTAAACTTAAATTCAACACATTTAACTTATCAATTTAAATTAGCGGTCATTTAAACTTAAATTAAACACATTTAACTTATCAAATTAACATTATCTGCCTTTTAACCTTAAATTAAACACGTTTAACTTATCAAGTTAACATTGTCGGTCATTTTAACTTAAATTAAACACATTTAACTTATCAAATTAAAATTAGCAGTCATTTTAACTTAAATTAAACACATTTAACTTATCAAATTAACATTTTCGGTCATTTTAACTTAAATTAAACACATTTAACTTATCAAATTAACATTATCTGTCATTTTAACCTAAATTAAACTCATTTAACTTATCAAATTAACATTATCGGTTATTTTAACTTGAATTAAACACATTTAACTTATCAAAATAACATTATCGGTCATTTTAACTTAAATTAAACACATTTAACTTATCAAATTAACATTATCGGTCATTTTAACTTAAATTAAACACATTTAACTCATCAAATTAACCATATCAGTCATTTTAACTTAAACACATTTAACTGATCAAATTAACAATATCGGTCATTTTAACTTAAGTTAAACACATTTAACTTATCAAATTAACAATATCAGTCATTTTAACTCAAATTAAACACATGTAACTCATCAAATTAACATTATCTGTCATTTTAACCTAAATTAAACACATTTAACTTATCAAATTAACATTATCGGTCATTTTAACTTAAATTAAACACATTTAACTTATCAAGTTAACATTATTGATAATTTAACTTTAATCTAACACATTTAACTTATCAAAATAACATTATTGGTCATTTTAACTTAAATTAAACACATTTAACTGATCAAATTAATGTTATCGTTGGTTTTAACTTAAATTAAACACTTTTAACTTATCAAATTAACATTATCGGTCATTTTAACTTAAATTAAACACATTTAACTTATCAAATTAACAATATTAGTCATTTTAACTTAAATTAAACACATTTAACTCATCAAGTTAACATTGTCAGTCATTTTAACCTAAAGTTAAACAAACTCAAAAATATTTTTTTACTTATTCAAACTAATTATTTAAAATAAACTGCAACTTAATTTTTTGTGTTCAGTCAACATAAGCTTGTTAAAAGTGTTAAGTTAACTTTATCAATTTGTGTTAGGACAACATGAATGAATTGTGTGTAACCCTGCATTTTTCACAGTGTACATTTAACTTATTAAATTAATGTTAACAGTCATTTTAACCTAAATAAAACACATTTAACTTATTCAATTAACATCAGTCATTTTAACTTACATTAAACACATTTAAAATATCAAATTAACATTATCGATCCACTTAAATTTGTAAAAACAATCAAGTTGACATAATTGATTTGTTTTGGGACAATGAAGGAATTGTGAGGGATGCATGACATTTTTAAGTTCAATTAAATTAACATTCTCAGTCATTTTAACTTAAATTAAACAAATTTAAATGATCAAATTTACATCATCAATCCACTACAATTTGTAAAAACAATTAAGTTAATTCAATCAATTTATTTTGGGAGAACAATAAAGAATTGCACTCAAATTTTTATTTTTATTTTTTATTAAAATTTTTTTTTTGCTTGTTCAAACTACTTATTTAAAATGAACACAATTCTTGATATTCCATTGGGACAGCTTAATTTTTTATGTTCAATTTCCATAAATGTGTTTAAAGTGTTAAGTTAACTTAATTGATTTGTTTTGGTTCAACATGAATGAATTGTGTTGAACCCTGCATTTTTTACAGTGCACTGAAAAAAAATGATTCAAAGATGATTCCTCGGATTTACTCAATTTTTTTTTTTTTTTTACGTTAAGTGGTTGTAAACAATTTATTTGGGCTGAATTTAAACAAAAAAATGAAGTTGAATATTATTAAATTACATTTGTTTGTTAAAATTCAACACAAATACATTGTTTGCAACAGTGCATGCAACACTTTTTTGTGTGGAACACATAACATTTTAAGTGAAATCAAAATGACACTATCAGTCATTTTAACTTAAATTAAACACATTTAAAAGGTATGTCACTAAAGCTGAAGATTTTGCCATCATTTACTCATCTTTTTGTGTTTTGCTAGTTTTCTTTCATTGAACAAAAACAAGACATTTTGAAGAAAGCTGTAAACCATTGACTTCGATAGTAATTGTTGTACCTACACTGGAAAAAAATTGTGTCTGCAAAATTGTTGCAAATGATTTATGTGTTGAATTTAAAGAAGCAAATTAAATTTAGTAATGTTCAACTTAATTTGTTTGTTTAAATTCAGCCCAAATAAATTGTTTACAACCAACTTAACCTAAAAATACTAAATCCAAGGAGTAATTTAAAAAAAAGAAATTCTGTGTACTATGGAAGTCAATTGTTATTTAAAATATCATCATATTGTTTTCAACAGCATAAAGAAACTCACAAATGCTTGTAACCATTTGTGAATGAGTAAATAGTTCACTCAAAAATTTTAATTTACTCGCATTCTCTTTAAATTGGCTTGTTTAACTTCAAAAATTAAGTTTGAAACATGATAAACATACTTTAATAAGTTACAATGTACATAAAAACATGTTACACTGTAAAAAAAAACTGGTTGCCTTAACTTTTTGAGCTAAATTAAATTAACCATATGAGTCCATTAAACTTATATTATGTTAAACTAAAATTAAGTAAGTTAGAACATGATTAACTTAGTTTAACAAGTTACAATGAACTTAAAACATATGCTGTCTGAAAAAAAAACATTTTATATTTTAAAGAAAGCTGACTTCCATATAGTATTCCAGGTTGTGTCTTCAAAATATCATCTTATTGTGTTCAACAGAATAAAGAAACTCAATAAAGATTGTAGAATGAGTAAAAGTGAGTAAATTTAAAGTTTAGGGTGAACTATTCCTTTAAATCAGCTTGTTTAACTTCAATAAAACTTAAATAAGCTTACTTGTATAAGCTACAATTGACATAAAAGCATATGTTGTTATAACTCATTAATTATACACCCTTTAATTATTATATTACGCTTTACATACGTGTAGACAGGAAACTTACCTTGATCTCTCGCAGTCGCGGTTTTAGTCCTAATATACTCAACAGCCAATTCCAGAATTTCAGCCTTCTCCAGTTTAGGGTTTTGAAGTCGCTGCAAGGAGTGAATGTAAATGCATTATGCTGCTAAGCCATTTCAGTGTTGTTTAAGTGCACTTTTAAAACTTTATATGTTTTATTACCGAATCTAAAGTATTATCCAGAAGAAGCGTTCGCAGTTCTTCCAAACGCTGGTTGATCCGGTCTCTCCGTTTCTTCTCTATAACCGGTTTTAAGATCTAGACGGAGCAAGTTGTACTTTTAATTCAGGCTTAATTAAACAAAATGAAAATGTATTGTGTTTAAAGTCCAACTAATAGAGATGGCTAAATCATAGATACATTGAAAAAAAGATCAGCTATACTTTAACAAAAGTGAGTAAAATTTAATTTAAACAAAATGAGTATCATTCATTGACTTAACTTATAATTATCCACATAAACTTGTTTACGTAATAATTAAAATGCAATGGCTTGACTCTCTTTTTTTAAGGTAAAGTCAATTAATCCCTTTTACAGTGTAGCTACAAGAGAAAGAGCGTGGACTTACTCGTTTGGTTGGTCTTCGACTTGCCATTTTTGGAGTAACCATGGCTGAAAATCGGAAGAAGACGATACACCTTCAGTGTTGTATTCCCGCTGATCTGTCTTGCTTGTAGAAATTCTTCTATTGTGTTAAAGTCCCTTGCAAACCCCTGCTTTTATCAGGGATGCTGGCTCGTCATTGGTGACGAGGTGTCAATGACGTATCCAGCCGTTTGGTCGTGTGCCGCCTTATGGCGTTCTGCTGCTCCCAATTACGCATTTAATATGATCCGAGATAAGAAACTATAAATCGATTAGGTTATTTACTGCATGTTTTGTTAAAGCAAACATATTCAACTGCAAGTATGTGATATAAACTCATCGTTGTCTCATAGCTAAAAAGTGATTAGTTTGAAATTACTTTAAAAGAATTAACCCCGTTACATTATTGATTTTACTTTTTTAAAAGTCAGCATATCCATTGATTTAACTTCTATAAGTATGCACATGTAGTTTGTTTAACTATTTAATACTTATAATGCAATGAGTTTACTTTCTTAAGCAGTCAACGAGTCGCTTGATTATGAAATCTGCATTACCGATCTTATAAATTTGCTTAGGATAACCCCACTGTAAAAATATATCAATTAGTCACGACAGCATAAGTTTTAAGTTCATTGTAACTTATTAAACTGAGTTAAACATTTTCTAACTTAATTTTATAAGTTACACAAGCTTTTTTTAAGTCAGTTTCACATAATATAAGTTCAATGGATGCATGACTTTAATTTGATTCAGCGTTTACCAGTATTTTTTTTACAGTGCAGTAATGCATACAATGCAATGAGGTTGTAAATGCAATAGAACGCTTAGGATTTTATGGAGTTGCTGGTTTTATTGCGCCAATAAGTCAATATGAAGCCAGCGCATCTTGATTTTTTTGACACTCAATTCACCAAAACGCTCCTCCCGTTCAAAGTTCACGACCTATAATCACAAACACACCACAAATAGGCTTCCTATATGTCATACTATTGCAGTTCTGTTTTACTGCATGTTCAAAAACGTGTAATTCAAGATTTAAAAAAATTCTATTGTCAATTATTGATCAAGGCAGCTTATATACAGTCTCTATGTGTTCGCTCCGCATGCAGAAATGTTGGCCTATCATTTATTTCTCTCTGCGGCGGAGGAACACTTGAGGATTTTTTCTCGTGGAAACAATATTGTGGGCAGGTATGTGTAAAAACGAACACAGTCACAGTAACACCGCCAGACTGGAATACTCAAACTTTTAAAGGCGCTTAGAATTTCATTAGATGCCCAGTTTCCGTGCCTTGCTTTCGCACCTGAAGCTCAAAGCGACAGGAATAAGCACACCACAATGGACCACAATGCCAGAACTTTCTTCACTTTTTTAGAGTGAGATTCATACATCATCAGAAAGCAAATATCAGTTGAAATTGTTCAATAAATAAATAAATATTTAATAAATAAATAAATAAAATGAGTAGTTATTTGGTTGGGGTAAAACTGTTAAAAATGTCTAATTATTAAGGAAAAACACATTTAAAGTAGTCCAAAGCCTAAGCAATGCATATTACTGATTGAAATTTTAGTTTTGATACATATTTTAAGTAGGAAATTTGCTAAATTGGTAGAAATTTTTACGTAATATCCTAAAGATGCTCTGCATAAAAGGAAAACCAACACTTTTGTTATATGTAAAGTACATATTTTAGTTTTTATATTTTAAGGAGGAAATTTGCTTAATGTCATGATGGAAATCTTTACGTACCCTAAAGAGGTTTGGCATAAAAGGGAAATCAACAATTTTGACATATGCAATGTATATATTTTGGATTTATTACCAAATACCTGCAACAAACACTTTTTGGTAGGTTTCAATAAGGTTTTGTTGTCCATGTTCACAACTAAGGCAAAATAGTGGGTTTGAAACTGTAATGCGTAATTTAACTTGCATCTTTAAGTGCTTAAATGTTAAAACAGAGCTTCATAATTGCAGAAGATGCATCCAGATCATGCATGTGTGCGTTCGTTCTGCTTTTCCGCAGTGAGAGTACTTAAAGAAGGACAAACTTATTATAATGATGAACAAATATGATTACATAAGCTGTAAAATATGTCTTGAAACATTTTACTGGAAGCGCAAAGCACATTAATGTTGCAGAACGACACTTGGATGCCTGGTTGTCTTGACGCGCGCGCACACGTGAACGCCACATTGATAACAACAGCTCACTTTATAGGCTCAGGGTAAGATGTCTCTCTGCTTAAACTGAACATTTTGTCTTTGCTGAATTGTTGAAAAGGCCATGTGGTGATTCACTTTTTGACCCCATGCATGGGCATCGTTCATGGCTAAGAAAAATCCCGTGGGAAAGTATAATGTTTGGTCAAGTGGAGTGGTGGCGCACACACCCCTGCCTATAATTCCATTAGTGTTATGATTCTTTTAACACGTCTATGTTACAGTGAATATGGCGAGAGGGATTCTGTGGACAAAAGGGGCGTGCAATCGGAGCATGCGCACTGTGTATGGCTATGAGTACGTCTGTGCGACTGCAATGCGCGCGCTCGCTTAATAATGTGACATATAATGAGCATTAAGATTAACTAAAAATCAGTATTGGGGAAGCAAATATCTGAATTTACTAGATTTAACATCAAGCTGCATGCATACAATGGCAGATCTAGTGTTAATTCTCATTCTAAGAAATGGGTTGAGGTAACCAATTGGGTCAAATATGACAAACTCGTCCCCAACTTTGGGTTAATATTTTAATAAATGTAGGCTAATTGCACTTTTTATATATATATTTAAGCAATAATTCACCAAACATTTGGTTACAAATACCCCTTTTTAGAGTGCATGCAATTGTTCTTTGAACGGAAATCGGGCTTTGATGTGGCTTTGAATGGAAAACGCGAAGTGTCAGGGTTATTTAGAATATAATTCCACCCTATTCAATACAAAACCATTAAACAACCATTTTGGATACAGACCCCATGCACGGATGGCCACCATCAGCCATTTAAAATGGTGGAATTTGAAACTTTAGCACACTCTCTCACCTGCTGGACCATTACGAAACATTTGGGCAAATGGGCACGTGGAGACTTTACGCACCTGAGCGCCTGTTGCAGAGGTGTGAATCAGACACGCTTTCGTGCATGGTGTGCGCATGGTGTGAGCACGTGTCGTCGGATTGACTATTTTTTTATTGATTGGAAAGGCATAAAGAGTATAGAATAATTTGAGCTGAATATATATGTTTTATTTTTCTTGAAATGGCCAAATTCTGACTGGGGAAAGTTTAAAGTGCTGGCCAGTACTAAACAATATAGGCCACAGTTTTTAATTTAAAACTTGAACACTTTCCTATTTTTTTCTAATGATATATGATGTTTCCCAGAGATGAGTTGCGGCTGGAAGGGCATCCGCTGCGTAAAACATATGCTGGATAAGTTGGCGGTTCATTCCGCTGTGGCGACCCCGGATTAATAAAGGGACTAAGCCGACAAGAAAATGAATGAATGATAGGCTATATGATGTTATAAATTTGTATTTTAAAAATAATTATGATTGGAGTTTGCATGTTCACCCCGTGTTGGCGAGGGTTTCCTCCGGGTGCTCCGGTTTCCCTCACAGTCCAAATACATGCGGTATTGGTGAATTGGGTAGGCTAAATTGGCCTTAGTGTATGTGAGTGTGAGCAAGAGTGTCTGGGTGTTTCCCAGTGTTGGGTTGCTGCTGGAAGGGCATCCGCTGCATAAAACATGTACTGGATAAGTTGGTGGTGCATTCCGCTGTGGCGACCCCTGATTAATAAAGGGACTAAGCCGAAAAGATAATGAATGAATCAAATAAATGAATGAAAATAAGTATTTTTTCCCACAATTCTTAATTCTAAATCTTTAGAAAACATTTTGGTACATCAAAAAGTGCGGCTATGATGACCATCCGACAACTTACATGGAGTCGAGTCCCCTACATGTGGACATGCAGAGCAACAAAAGATAGATAAATCATAAAAACACAACCCTGGACATAAGAGCTATTACAAAATACAAATGCATAACTAACATACACTATAGAGTAAAATAAAATACTTAAATCATATATATATAAGAGGCTATACAACTAATAAGACAGGCTATACAAGTATCGTGTAATTCAGCTAAAGTAAACAAGTATACATGTAATTCAGCTAAAAATAGTGTTCAAAATTTCACTAAATGCAGTATTTAAACCTCATAAATAAATAGAAAATGAGGTGTATACTACATTTTCTTTTCGGCCTAGTCCCTTTATTAATCTGGGGTTGCCACAGCGGAATGAACCGCCAACTTATCCAGCATATGTTTTACGCAGCGGATGCCCTTCCAGCTGCAACCCAACACTGGGAAACATCCGTACACTCTTGACACGCTCGTACACTACGGCCAATTTAGCTTATTCAATTCCCCTAAAGTGCATGTGTTTGGATGGTGTGGGAAACCGGAGCACCCAGAGGAAACCAACGCCAACACGAGGAGAACATGCAAACTCCACACAGAAATACCAACTAACCAAGACAGGCCTCGATCCAGCGCCCTTCTTGCTGTGGGGCAATTGTGCTACCCGCTGCACGACCGTGTTGCCCGAGTAGTGTGATATGAAACTGTAATATCGCCCTAACCTAATCCCTAACCACCACCTCAGAACCAATAAAATACAATGTTGGTAGTATAATCTGATGGGTAGGATAAAATGTCTGGACACCAGCACATGTTTTTTTGTAGCGATGCCCTTCCAGCAACAACCTATTACTGGGAAGTAAAAAAAGTAAAAAAAAAAAAAAAAAATTTAAAAGGTTGGTAAAGATTTGCTAATTATAAATATTTAAGTAATTCATTCATTCATTTTCTTTTCGGCCTAGTCACTTAATTAATCTGGGGTCTACACCGCGGAATGAACCGCCAACTTATCCAGCATATGTTTTACGCAGCGAATGGCTTTCCAGCTGCAAACCATCACTAGGAAACATCCACACACTCTCATTCACACACACGCACTACAGACAATGTAGTTTACCCAGTTCACCTATAGTGCATCAGTTT